TCCGCAACCGCCTGGGCTGCAGCCCGCTTGGCCTGCCGGTACCTGTCAGCTGCCTCGTGTCCCCCACAAGCCACCCAGGCTCGAAAGGACTCCTTCTTCAGCTTGACGGCATCCCTTACTTCCGGTGTCCACCGCCGGGTTCGGGGATTGCCACCACGACAGGCACCAGAGACCTTATGCCCACAGCTCCGAACGGCCGCATCGACAATGGAGGTGGAGAATATGGTCCACTCGGACTCGTTCCTCCCAATCACGCCCCTCCAGGTGTCACTGTCGCTGCCCACGTGGGCGTTGAAGTCCCCCAGTAGAACAACGGAGTCCCCAGTCGGGGCCTTTTCCAGCACCCCTCCCAGGGGACCTTGCCGGGCGACGTCACGGTCCTTGATTTTAATCTATTCATAAAGGGCTTTTGAACCACTCTTAGTCTGACCCGTCACCCAGGACCTGTTTGCCTTGGGGGACCTTACCAGGGACATATAGCCCCCGACAACATAGCTCCTAGGATCACTCGGGTACTCAAACCCCTCCACCACAATAAGGTGGCGGTTCAAGGAGGGGAAAATAAAACCAATATCAGTTATAAAGCACCAGAAAAAAAAATGTTAGTTGTATTTAAGGCAACTGTCAGTTTTTCATTTTCATTCATTAATACTGAGAAGCATCACATTTTGATTCTAAACAGCCCCCATGCCTCTACATATGAACTGAGCAGAGTCACACTTATTATCTGGTTTACTACACTTCTTTGAATAAGATGTTTTAGAGTTTGTTGAATTTTTCTGTATCCTGACAAGACTACAAATGAACTGGTGCAGAGCTGCAACAAGTCGACAACATGAATCTGTATGGAATTGCTGTGATAAATGAACAAGTCCTGAGCAAAAGCACAAATATTTTCTGGTTCCAGCTTCTGAAACAAGACGACTCGTTGCTTTTCTTTTGTCACATATGTTAGTAAACTCGAACAACTTTGGGATTTGGACCACGGGAAATAAAAACAGGAATATTCTCCATTTCATGGCATCTTATAGACAACCCATCAAAATGAACAATTGGCTGATTAATGAAAAATGGAAATAAGTCGTATCTGCAGCCTTAATGTTGTGCAGTTTATATTGTCAGCGGCCTAGTAATCTCAGTAAAATCACACCACTGTTCCATCGGACCTGGTCTCCAGTGTTGGACAACATTACACAAACCTTACAAGTGATGCAGTCTGTGATTGTACGTTTATTATTTTTGTGCTTTAAAAAGTCTGTCAGTAGATTTTGTTGATCCACACATTCCCATGTCCACTGATACTCATTGTCCCTCTTCTTTCAGATTAAAGACTTCCTGTCCTATCTCCAGCCGGTCAATGTCTACCCCAGCGTCATCCCCATGGGCTGCACACTGACAGAAGTTACACAGCTGTGAGTCTGGTTGGATTGATTTCAGGATATTTATTTAAAGAGAACAGTCTCATTGGCATTGACAGGAGGCAACAGCGCCAGTTACACCAGGTGACCAAGAAAATGATTTGTTTGCAGAGAAGCATCACAACGAACTGAGCTGGGAACTGTTTCAGAATCGGTTTTATTGGCCAGGAATATGCAAGGGACTCCAGTTTCTAGTGTCTCTTGTGTATGAAAATGCGGTACCAGAAGTAGAAGTATCACACTGTAGAAATACTCTGTTACAATTAGAAGTCCTGCATCAAAATATACTTAAAATACCACATTATTATAGAAGAGCCCATTTCAGAACAATGCATATTATTGTTGCTGCATTGTGTAAACATCAGTAACGTGGAGCTCATTTACTTTAAGTATGTAATTTATTTAGTGCATTGTCATTATTATTATTTATTGGTTGATTCTATTCTGTATTCTGACTTTTGTTGTGATTTGGCTCTGTACACATTGAATTGAATTGGTGCATCTCCAAAGTAGCTACAGATGTAGAATAAATGCAGTGGAGCAGAAGTATAAAGTAAAGTACAAGTACATCAGAAGTTACTATTACTTGGTTTTCTGCAACTTCATAGTAAATTATGAAGTAGACTGAAACCATTAAATCCCAGATTCGTTCATTTATAGAATTATTGCAGGGCCCTCGGTTTTCAGTCAGCGTTAATTAAGTAAATCAGATGTGCAGAGATGTTTTGTTAGAAGAACCACAGTTTCAGAAACCTTATGCATTTGATCAGTTTTTTTTTATCAATGTTGACCATGCAGGAATCATCTGTTCAGACGTAGTAACTCTGCCTCTGTGTGTCTGACCAGGCTGAAGCTGATGTGCAGGAAACGATCTGATCAGTCGTTTGTTTACAAGCCTCTGGGAGTCCTCAAACGCAGCAGGGTGGAGCGACCTACATACGGTGAGACACACGCACATCACATGCAACCGTGGCACAACACCTGTGCTGCTGTGGGGCTTGTTTACAGGTCACCATGAAATACAAACCGTAAGCTTTACAGCTGAAACCTGAATGTTCTCTGTGCAGTTGGCAGTTAAAGGACAACTTTGGCTTTTTCAACCTGCTAATTTTACGATCGCTGCTTCTGTTGTAGAGATTTGGGGAAATAAAGTCAGGTTAAACGGCATCACCGGGGCAACAAATACGTCTGTCACATCATTTCTTTCCCTGATCTCAAAGCCAGAAGGAAAGCAGAAACAAGATGCAGTCATCTGGGGGTAGCCAGCACAGCTGCCTCCACAGCATATTCATGCAATCAACTTGCCAGCTGACCTGATGATCAGCCTGTGCTCGACTGTATCTTCTGTCTGCTTTCCTTCTGACTCAGATCAGTGAATGACATTGATTCTGAGCTCAGAGGCAGTGACACAGTTTAACACAACTTTTCACTTCTACAGTGGAGGCAATGATTAGCACTAGCTCTAGAGTCTCCATACCTGTTTCTAAGGGAAATGGAGCAGGTTCAAGAAAACCAAAGTTATCCTTTAGTTTTGACAGATAAATCTTCAGATGCATACAAGTAGGTTCTTTAAAGTCCCTCACACTAAAGTTAGTGTGCTGCAGTGTAACTATAAACATGCACAGAGCAGGAGTTGGAAGGCTTCAGAACCTGCTTAACACTAGACCTGAAGCTCAGGATCTTGTAATAGACTTGGTTATGCTTACTACTGAAGAAGACAGAGGAATCATAGGCTACCTGCTTTAATGGCCCAGCTAGGGTCAGTATACAGTGCCTTGCAAAAGTATTCATACCCCTTGAATTTTTCCACATTTTGTCACATTACAACCACAAACTTAAATGTATTTTATTGGGATCTTATGTGATAGACCAACTCAAAGTATCGCATAATTGTGAAGTGGAAGGAAAATAATACACGGTGTTCAAGATTTTTTACAAATAAAAATCTGAAAAGTGTGGCATGCATATGTATTCAGCCCCCTTGAGTCAATACTTTGTTGAAGGACCTTTCGCTGCAATTACAGCTGCAAGTCTTTTGGGGTATGTCTCTACCAGCTTTGCAGATCTAGAGACTGCAATTTTTGCCCATTCTTCTTTGCAAAGTAGCTCCAGTTTAGTCAGATTGGATGGAGAGCGTCTGTGAAGAGTAATTTTCAAGTCTTGCCACAGATTCCCAATAGGATTTAGGTCTGGACCTGGACTGGGCCATTCTAACACATTTTCGGATGATGGATTGATCAGTGCTCGGTGAGATGTTCAAAGCTTGGGATATGTTTTTATAACCTAATCCTGCTTTAAACTTTGCCACAACTTTATCCCTGATCTGTCTGGTGTGTTCTTTAGTCTTCATGATGCTGTTTGTTCAGTAATGTTCTCTAACAAACCTCTGAGGCCTTCACAGAACAGCTGTATTTACAGTGGGTATGGAAAGTATTCAGACCCCCTTAAATTTTTCACTCTGTTATATTGCAGCCATATGCTAAAATCATTTAAGTTCATTTTTTTCCTCATTAATGTACACACAGCACCCCATATTGACAGAAAAACACAGAATTTTTGACATTTTTGCAGATTTATTAAAAAAGAAAAACTGAAATATCACATGGTCATAAGTATTCAGACCCTTTGCTGTGACACTCATATATTTAACTTAGGTGCTGTCCATTTCTTCTGATCATCCCTGAGATGGTTCTACACCTTCATTTGAGTCCAACTGTGTTTGATTATACTGATTGGATGTGATTAGGAAAGCCACACACCTGTCTACATAAGACCCTACAGCTCACAGTGCATGTCAGAGCAAATGAGAATCATGAGGTCAAAGGAACTGCCTGAAGAGCTCAGAGACAGAATTGTGGCAAGGCACAGATCTGGCCAAGGTTACAAAAAAAATTTCTGCTGCACTTAAGGTTCCAAAGAGCACAGTGGCCTCCATAATCCTTAAATGGAAGACGTTTAAGACGACCAGACCCTTTCCTAGAGCTGGCCGTCCAGCCAAACTGAGCTATCGGGGGAGAAGAGCCTTGGTGAGAGAGGTACAGAAGAACCCAAAGATGACTGTGACTGAGCTCCAGAGATGCAGTC